GTATTCGGGCTCCAGGGTTGGCCGAATTTGACGGGGATAGTTTCCCGCAGACTTGCCTCGGGGGTCCAGCAATTGACGGGCGTCGGGAGGTTTGGAGGGGGCAACATATAGGGTTTGATCGGCCTGGTCGGCAGCGGCCTGCTGCACCCGGGAGACCAATGTTTAGCGTTTTGGCTCGTGATAGAATTCCCATGCAGTGTCAGCACGGGGCCTCTTATGGGGATGGCAAATGTCAGTCGCGAGTACCTGTGTTTGTGCTAGCTTCCTTGCTTTCTCTCTTCATCCCCGCACCACCAGATAGTTTTTCCTTAATTTATCCTCAAGAAGGCCCATTCCCTCATTTTTGTTACGCGGCGCTAATATTTCAGCATTAGCACCGTGAACAACCTTCTCGTTATCCCCTTGAATTGCAGGATCCCGTGCTCACAAAGATTTTGGAAGATGTTGAAAAAATCTACGCTATGGTCAATGCCTCACCTGAGAGTGGGGGGGGGCTAACGCCGACATTTACTTGCTCAATTGATAGGTCCAGAAGGTGAGCCCACCAGCGCAGATTTCTATTAGAGAACTAGGACTGAGCGCACTGAGAGCCCAAGTCTTGTCGTCGTTGCTTGGATTTCGAACTGCGATTGCGGCTTCGTCAGGCTTGGGGGGTGCGGTGCTGTGGGCCGGATAGGTTCGCTGACCGTTCGGAGGAGGCTCGATAAGCTGAAGGGCAGTGGCACATGGGAAGTGGTAAATATGACTAGAAAAGGTGAGGAAGAGTGAACCAACCTGAGGGCTGCAGATGAATAAATGGCTCCATGCGCGGGGCGGGTATAGTGGGGGATTCAGTATATAATCGGAAAACCATTTCTACCCGGCCCACGCGAGGGATATTTCCTGTGGAGACCCGGGTGCTGTTTGTGCAGCTTACTGACGCCGCGGAGAACAGGTCCCTGAGCCCAAGTTGCTACATAAGGAAACCCAACTGCAATCCAGCGGCTGGAGCGGTATCATGTGTTTGTCCCAGTGGATCAAGAGGATGAATACCTGCGAAGTATGATAGTCACAACAGCACAGCCATCCGGCATCGGAGGTGGTTGCAGCGGGGGACAAAGCCATCCATTCTAACGTAATATTAGGGCCAAAGAAGGGGAGGGCTGTGGGGATGGTGAGGATGATGATGATCGGGTCCAATGTGAGGAAGAAAATAGATGCTATTGAAGAGATGGGGAACTTTTTAAACGTAAGGTCTAAACACAGCGGATTCAGAGTTCGGATACGGATTCTGATAAGTCAAGATAGATTGTGTATAGTTGAAGTAAAAAGGAATGTATAGAAGAACCTATCAAGAAGACAAGAAAGAAACGAAAGAAAATCTGAAATAACAAACGACAGCGAAATGGAGATTGAGAATGCACAAACGGATGACGATAACGATAAAAAATATCAAAACTATAGAGGAGCGTCCTCCTCCTTTATCTACCCATTTGTCCTGCTGCCATTTCCCTCCATATTCTTTCTTTAGATGAGCGAACAAGAACCTGCTTGTCCATTCTAATTGATGAGGTGGTGTGCAGTAGGTTGAGACTGGAAACTGCTCGCTGTTTGGGAGTCGGCGATGGTGTGACACGGAAGTTCAAGAGATGCCTGAAGCTAGTGTGTAGTGCGACGTTGGGGTTGCTGATTGTCTCAGACTTGTGGAAAGTGTAACATAGGAGTCAGTAACTGTTTGGGATGACTGATAGTGTAACGTAGGATGATCCAGCCGTGTATGGTTATCCATCGGTGTGAGTTCCGAGTTCTTAGCCTGGTCTGATATCGGTTTCCGATAATGGTGAGCAGTCTAGCTTCCCAAATTTCTAACAGAACTACCCCCGCTGAGCATATGGAGCACAGCGGGAGCCTGACGACGACGCATCCTCGTACTTGTAATGGAGTGACGCATCCAATCATCAGTTTCATTGATTATGAAAAGTCTTACATTGGGTCTAAGGATTAGTCCGAGTCTCGTCGCCTACATTGTCAACTCGGCACAGGGTAAAGGAGAAAATAAAGAAAATGGAGGTAAAAAAAACATCAGGGCATAGCATGTAGAGTATCATACCATGGTTTGCTAAGGAATCACCTGGTGCTCCATCTTCCGCTCCTCGATCCGCAGGCAGCCAAAGTCGAGTGCTACAATGGTGGCTAGTTCAGCCGAAGAAGGCATTCCCACTCAGATCCCACCGTACCGTGTTGGAGAAATCCGTACTAGGATCGAATTCCGTCCACACCCTAGCGGGGAATATATGCTTGCTCTGCTTACCCCAGCGACGATCCACCACTTTGGTCACTGTCGAGGCATCCCATTTGGGGTTCCGAGTACAGGTCTGGGGGGTGGGCGGTAGCGATGAAGGGGGTGTCGAAGAATAAACCGTTGGGTCCCATTCTTCGATTGACGATAAAGTATTGGAGTCCAAACTGCTGCCGGGTGGGCTAGCGGTCACCGGGGGAGGAGGTGGGAGGGGCGGGAGGAGTGCGTGCCGTATTATGACCTCCTGGCAAACCAGTAGTATGATAAGTCAGCCACCGATATTCTGAGCCACTCCCTGTGGCCAGCCATTTTCCTAGCATGCACAGGAAATAGCCATACAGCCTAGCCCATATGGATAGTTACACCTTCTCGGTTGGTAGCGCGGCATTAGCACCTGGTAGGTGTTAGCTTTGGGTCAACTCCGGAAATCAGGGTATTAATAACACCTGCCATGATAAAAGACAAATGGAATCCAAATCTCCTCGGTGTTAATCTTCTCCTGGTGGCCAAAAACTCCCTCCTCAACGTCTCCCGTTCCTGATCCTCCCCACTCTTATTGTTATCCTTGCTAGAGTTCCTCGTCAGATAGGTGTAGGGAAAATCGACGCCATCATCTGTGCCATTCTCTTGAGCGTCCTCTCCCTCGCGAATGACAATTTCCCCTTGGCCACCCTCCTACGCTTCTCCGTTCTCTTGCCGCCGCGGTCGGTGGGCCCCTCCCCGGCCCCCGCTGGTGCGAATGGGTTTTCATTTCTCGGCAGCCTCACGGCCTCGCTGTTCCATCAGCTCCACGCTACACTTCTTGAATTCAGTTAGATGCATGAGGCCGACGCTTTGGACCGTGAGAAAGTCCTCAAGCTGTTTCCGTGGCAGCGAAACGGTGCGAGGATGTGCCTGCTGGTGATGTTGATAGTGGGAAATATCAACACAGTGATGGAGGATGAAAGGGGCTTAGCAAGTATGCACCCTGCCCAGGGATGTGCTACCTAGACTAGGGTTTTTTTGTACAAGTGGCTCTCATATCTGTTCCACTGGCACCAGTCAGATAGCTGGTAACCGGGCGACTGAGGAGAGGAGAATGAGTATTTAAATCCCACTTGCTTCGCGGTTGCCCTCCAAATGCCCGAATCACAAACAACTCCACAAACCACCCCAGAGGCATCTCCACCAGCATCTCCACAAACAACTCCTATTTTCCCTTCATCATACATCGGACACACAATGCTACGATCGTAGGGTGTGTTTCAGAAACCCTGTAGTTTTGGGACATCCCGTTTATTAACTGCGTGTTACTAGACTTTTCAGTGTTCAACCCCAGATGCAGGGAACTACTTATGGTCTTCGTGGCAACTGCTGGAGGTAGTTGGATGGCAGCCGCCAACGCGAGGCGGATATATGAGGATCGCGGACGCCATAACGGAGGGCGAGATTCTGCAGGCACAAATTGCAGGGCAGGATACGCCAGCGAAGGGTAACACATGCACCAGTGTCGCGAAAGCAACGACCCCCCACCAGGAAATTGCGAGTCGCCAGCTCCTACGTAGTGGCTCGAATATTTGAGTGCCTTCTGGCATTATCACCATTGTCGGGGTGGCGGTTCTGGTGGTTCCGGTGGTAGTGTGATTGATGTTTTCCTTTTTAATATTATTATTCTGTTCGGGATGGCGGCATTGGGCAATGGGTGTTTGCGGCCAAGGTTTGCAAGGGGGAGACTTTGCTGCGGCCGTCATAGCTTATAAACTGTTCTTCCTAGTGATCCTCAGGTTTCTCCAGCTACCCGTAAAAACACCTCGGGAAGGCATAGTCTTTGCCTAATGCGGAATAGCTGCAGCAGCTGGCGCAGGTAAACAACACTATACTAACAGCGAGCAGTGCTTCCAGTTGTCCAGTCGGATGCCTAGTAGCGCAGAAGATTTTCGGTCAAGTTAAGTATTGATATTCTCCAGGTATTGTTGTGTTGCAATTAGGGGCAATTATATAACACGATGTAGTTAGTGCGGGGCGTATTTGGAGTGGCTTCGACATTCCTGCTTAGTGCAGCATGCCTCGGCGGTGGAAGGGATAGGTGGCCCGAGCATGGTCCGACGGCCGTCCACCCCCAGCGGTAATTGTTAAATTACAGGCATATTGAACCCAAACATCTGAGTCTGAATTTAGTGCAGGCGCTCAGATGTGCACAGACAATTCAGCATATCATTCATTATGCCCGTAACGAGTACGAGTACACAACTGTTTTCTCCTCCCCCCACCCACCGACCATTGCGGAAAATAAAAAATACCGCACAAAAAGCCCCCCGCCGCAACCGCCATCTCATTCAAAATAATAAAACTAGCGCTTATTCTTCTTGGTAAAGCCAAGGCCAAACTTGTGAAATGATAAATTCTAGGTCGGGGATATGGGAGGAAGTATTAGTGTTGCCCAATAGGGTAAACATCAGACTCCTGCACGAGTTGAATCTCAAGAACGTATTCCACACCATAGCGAGCGCCCGTCATAGTGACCCATCCACCTAAATACCAGCCACTATTCCAATCTCGACCGGTGTTCAACCAATCATGTTGCCCAGACTTGCAGAAGGCTCGCTATGCCGGGCGCTCGCTATGGTGTGGAATACGTTGACTGGGATTTGCGATTCGATTAACCTGGTAAACTAAGTCTGCTGTGAGCTGCCGGGTAACTTAATTGTAGTAGGCCAACAATCAACTCTTTCTCATCGCTTGCAGAGCAGACAACCCCTCGCCCACCTGCGATTCTCAAAACCTCCAACAGATATCGCTACCCTCTTTATCTGCTCCAGGCTTTGTAACACAATCACCACCATGTTTGAGGGGCAAGTTCGTGTCGAGCAATCTCGCGCTGCCTCGCAAAGAAAGGTTCACCAATCTCCTTTTGCGTCCACCACCAAACCAGGTGTCTACCAGACTCCTCCCCCCTCTCAGGCTACTTCAGAAGTTCTATCGCCTGATGGATCATCTAACATGCAGTACTATCTTACTCAAGGGTTAGAAGATGCAGTCCATAGAGAATTTGTGGACAACCACTCGTTCGCAGGAGCAGTTAAGTCACAAACAAACGCATTACGTCTTCGTAATGGGGGACAGTACCTTGTATTTTCCCCCGTAAGCGAAGAACAACTTGCAGAGATCGAACGCCTACGAGACGCAAACTACAAACAACTCCATTTCCTCTATATCAACCCAGCACAAACTTTGATTGCTAAACTCATGCCGAGTGGAATTCATGAGGTAGCGACAAGCGAGTTTGGCCGGATGCTATGGAAGAAGACAGCCAGTATGGGTGACGACCTTGATGAGGATCTACTTGACATGCGGGGTACACGGTACAAGGGGGTTTCGAGCAGTAAGGAAGCTGATTCTGCTTTCCGACCCGAGTCATCCCGTCCTCATGAAACAAACTGGCCCACAGTGGTAGTTGAATCTGGTGTGTCGGAAACACTAGAACGCTTGCGGGTTGATGCCAAGTGGTGGCTTTATAACTCCTCAGGGGATGTCCGTATTGTTCTACTTTTTGCCATCAAGGAAGTAGGGCAAGAGATTCTGATAGAGCAATGGGAACTTTGCCCTACCGAGAATCAGGCCAAAACCCGCCTTCATCCCAAGGATATTATTGAGATGCCTACATGCGCTGCATCTCTTAATATTCTCCCAGCAGGCACTACCGAACCGGGTGCTTTCCTGCCAGTTGCCGGATCCAAGACAGATCCCCCTGCTCTCACCCCAGTCAGCCCTTCCGAACCTGCTGGAGTCACCCCGGTCAACCCTTCCGAACCTGCTACAGTCACCTCAGTCCACTCTTCCGAACCTGCTGCTATCACACTGGTCAACCCTTCGGCGTTTGTTGCGATTACCGGAACGGACGATACCACGTCGGTTGTTGTTCGAGGTCTTAAACTAAATTTCGAAAAGATCTTTGCTCGGAAGCCACTCCAAGGCAGCTTGGAAAAAGATATCGAATTCACGGGGCGGGACTTTGAAAAGTGGGCACAGAAGCTCTGGCGGCAGAGAGATTAAGAACGGACTTCCTGTTGAATTTGGTAAGTTTCTACCTGCCTGCCATGTTAGATATTTTTGCTCACATACTAGAATAATAGCGGTTCCCTTGTGGGACAATTGCGGATCCTCTATGGGTATTGTATTTTTATGCGAACTCTTTCTAGGGGTGGTGGTAGGAGGTGGGAGCTTTACTATGGATGGCTTCTTGATTGTTATTATTTTTTGCTCCTTTTAGCTTTTTCCATTGTATGTATTATAGTCATCATGATATAGAATAACCAAGCTAGAGGTCCTCAGTCATGTAAACAAATTGTGATGGTAGCTGTGTTAATTACTACCCTCACACTCTCTTATTGCTTGCAGTCCTTCGTCTCCTTGAATCTCCATAATATTCACTATTTCCTTTCCACCTCTACCTTCGTACCGTCATGTGGCAGCAGCACAATAACAGTCATTGCTGATAGTCCTTTTTATACAACAAGTGCCAATTTTGAGAGCAGCGGAACTCCACCACCTACCCTGCTAGCCAACTCTTTTCTTATAACAGTGATTGGGAGTGGAGACAACTCTCACTTGTAGAAACCCACAATGTTGAGCCACGAAAAGTTCTGTTGAACCGCAAAAAGTTGTGTTATGTCACAAGTTATGTTGAGCTGTCAAGTCATGTTGAGTTGACGGGCACTCTTTAGAGTGCCCCTGGTTGTGACGCTTAGTCACAACATTGGCACAAGTATGATAGGCCTTGCATGTCGAGTCATTGTCGACATTGAGCTGCCACTACAGGCTTATTACAGTGGATATGGAGGTAGCGACTGGGCAATTGTTCTACTTTACCCACCCCCCGAATTTCTTGTCTTATCCTCATACATTCAGTAAACCTCACTCGGCAATGGCGGAAACCTGCTTGACGCATTTGAATTCATGACAGGTCAAAGCACTTTAGGCTCTCCCTGCTCCATATACACCAAGCGCACTCTTTCTACAATATTTTTCCATAGACTGAGGAGTTCATTCGAAACGGGAGCTCTCGTTCTGCAGGAGATCACTGGCACAGCAGTTATTGACCCAACCACTCCTCCAACTCTCCCAAGCACTCCCGGCACTGCCACCATTATCCGTGGATGAAAGATCCACCGCAGTGTCAGTCGTAACGCACACGCTCACCCTCCTTATGAACCTCAAATTCCAAGATCAAACACAGACAAACATGGAGCGGACCGGGATACCGTTAGTCAGTACCGCGGAGGCTAGAGTAATAATATGTGTACTGGATCTGGTCGTGCTGGGAGGGATATACCAGTACTTGGCTTACGGTGTTGGGATCCTAATGGAACGATGGACGAGCACCAGGGCATTGGCCCGGGCCGGCGGAGGGGGAGGGTGGAGGAGGTGCGGAACAGAAAGGATATGGAGTCATTGGAACTTGTCGTTGTGAGATTACAGGAGTCGCTCGAAGGGGGGATGCCCCTGGCGAGGGAGATTAACAGCGAAGGGCGGGCGAACGGGTTTTGGTGGGATGTGATCACCTGGTGTTCTGAATTTGCCTTCTATCCCTAACAGGGATGCGGGGGAATGGGGGGAGAAGTTTCGGATCTTGATTGACGGGTTCTCCCCAATTCAATCTTCATTGATAGTCGCTCGAATGCTAATGTCTCATTTTCTAGTACGTGAACACTACACTTTCTCCCTCTCCTCTGACTATTAACCCCCTTGACACCCCCAGTCTTCAGAACCCGCCTGCGCAGATAGTTCCCCGCGTCCTGTTCAGACGCCTCAACGCAACGGTTAGGAGATGCAGTCCATAAAGAATTTGTGGATAACTACTCTTTCGCAGGAGCACCTAAGTCACAAACAAAGGCATTACGTATTCGTAATGGGGGACAGTACTTTGTATTTTCTCTTCTAAGCGAGGAACTTGCAAAGATCGAACGCCTACACGACATAAACTACAAACAACTCCATTTCCTCTACATCAATCCAGCACAGACTTTGATTGCTAAACTCATGCCGAGTGGAATTCACGCGGTAGCGACAACTGAGCTTGGCCACATGCTATGGAAGAAGACAGCCAGTATGGGTGATGACCTTGACCAGGATCTACTCGACATGCGGGGTACAAGGTACAAGGGGGTTTCGAGTAGTAAGGAGGCTGATTCTGCTTTCAGACTGGAGTCATCCCGTCCTTATGAAGGAAAGTGGCCGACAGTGGTAGCTGAATCCGGGGTCTCAGAAACACTAGAACCCTTGCATGTTGATGCCAAGTGGTGGCTTCATAACTCCTCCGGGGATGTCCGTATGGTTCTTTTTGCTCCGGTTGCCACATCCAAGTCCGACCCGCCTGCAGTCAGCCCAGTCAACCCTTCCGAACCTGCTACTGTCATACTGGTCAACCCTTCGGAGTCTGTTGCAGGTACCTCGACGGATGATACTAAGCCAGTTGTTGTCCGAGAAGGTCTTAAACTGCATTTTGGAAACATCTTAGCTCGTGAGCCACTCAAAGGTAGCTTGGAAAAAGATGTTGAATTTACTAGGCTGGATCTTCAAAAGTGGGCGCAGAAGCTCTAGTGGGAGAGGTATTAAGAACCGACTTCCGTTTGAATTAGGTAAGTTTCTACCTGCATGCCATGTCAGATATTTTTGCTCACATACTAGAATAATAGGGTTTCCATTGTGGGAAAATCGAGGATCCTTTATGGGCATTAAACCTTTATGCAAACTCCTTCCAGGGTTAATGGTGGGAGGTGGGAGCTTTACTCTGGATGCGTTCTCGAATCCCGACCTCTTCCCTTCCAACATCGAACCCCGCAACACCCTCAATCTGCAACCGGATCTCGATCCCACCCTCGCTCCCTGGTCCAACCTCTTACGCGTCACCACTGGAATATAGTGTCCGCGCTTGAATCCGCAGCGGGGCCGCTAGGTTGGAGGAGGTCTTTATGCAGGTTTTTAGGAGCGCGAGGGTTCCTTTGTGCGAGGCACTTCTTCCTGTCGACTTTGCCAAGTTGGTTAGCGCCGGTTGGAGGAAAGTATTTGGGCTATGGGTCGTCGTGGCGGTGTAGGGGCGGGGGGGGGCGGAAGGTAGGAGGATTTGTAGGTGGTGAAGAGCGCCCGACAGGTCAATTCCCGAGACCAGGGGTTTGGTATTGAGCCATTTGGCTGCGTCATCTTCTATCTCGGCAACCAGGGGCCTTCGCAGTGGGGCTTCTGATGTCGTTGATTTGGCGAGTTGAGGGAGCCTTCCAAGGCTAGTAGTGCTTAGGGGGGTTTTCTTCTGCTCCTGGCTTACCTTCTTGAGAATAACCACCTCCTCCCTCAACCCCTCGGAAATACCCAGATCAAACCTTGATATCAATGGCACAACCAACACCCTCTCTCCCGTCTCTTCAATCCCCCTCCCTTTCCTCCCTAGAACACCCAATATTTTGAACCCAGCTTCCCACAGCATCAGCACATCCTCCGAATCCAACAGCTCCAGCAGTTCAGCATGGACTTTAGAAAAGTACTCAATCGCGTTTGCCCAGCTGGGGACAGCGCATGTAATCTTGGAATCGTTACTCAACGCCTCAAAGGACAAATTTGGAGGTATTGAGGGGGAAGAATGCACGGGAGCGTCGGTCGACAGGGACAGGTCAATTATATGACGGAGAGGGTTGGGGCGTCTGAACAGGACGAGGGGAACTATCTTCGCGGGGGGGTTCTGAAGACTGGGGGTGTCAAGGGGGTTAATAGTGAGAGGGGAGGGAGAAAGTGTGGTGTTCGCGTACTAGAAAATGAGACATTTGCATTCGAGCGACTATCAATGAAGATTGAATTGGGGAGAATTCGTCAATCAAGATCCGAAACTTCTTCCCCCATTCCCCCGCATCCCTGTTGGGGATAGAAGGCGAATTCAGAACACCAGGCGATCACATCCCACCAAAACCCGTTCGCCCACCCTCCGCAGTAAATCTCCCTCGCCCGGGGCATCCCCCCCCCGAGCGATTCCTGTAATCTCACAACGACAAGTTCCAATGACTCCATATCCTTCCTGTTCCGCACCTCCTCCACGCTCCCCCTCCGCCGTCCCGCGCCAATGCCCCGGTGCTCGTCCGTCGTTCGATTGGGATCCCAACACCGTCAGCCAAGGACGGGTATATCCCTCCCAGCACGACCAGATCCAGTACACATATTATCACTCTAACCTCCGCGGGACTGACTAACGGTATCCCGGTCCGCTCCTTGTTTGTCTGCATTTGAGCTTGGAATTTGAGGTTCGTAAGGAGGGTGAGCATGTGAGGTACGACTGACACTGCGGTGGATCTTTCACCCTCGGATGATGGTGGCAGTGCCGGGAGTGCTTGGGAGAGTTTTTGGAGGAGTGGTTGGGTCAATAACTGCTGTGCCAGTGATCTCCTGCAGAACGAGAGCTCCCATTTCGAATGAACTCCTCAGTATATGGAAAAATATTGTAGCAAGAGTGCGCTTGGTGTATATGGAGAAGGGAGAGCCAAAAGTGCTTTGACCTGTCGTGAATTCAAATGTGTCAAGCAGGTTTCCGCCATTGCCGAGTGAGGTTTTCTGAATGTATGAGGACAAGACGAGAAATTCTTGGGGTGGGTAAAGTAGAACAATCGCCCAGTTGCGACCTCCTTATCCACTGTAATAAGCCTTTATTGGCAGCTCAATGTCGACAATGACTCGACATGCAAGGGACCTAGCCAGTATCGAAATTCAGGGAGGTGAGATCGACAGTTAGGGCATCGCAGAGCTTATGTTGTCATCGGTTTTTGTTATCATACCCTACTAGACCGTGAGAGCACTCAGCGAGGCGACACCCTTAGTGAGCCTTGGCAATATTTAGTAGCAAAGACATTAAATACCCAAGCCGCGCTGTGTCTCACTCCGGATGTCGCCTCGCTGAGGTCTCTCACAGTTTAGTGATTACTCAGGGTCTGCAGAATCAGCTGACCCGGCAACTTATGTATGACATTGCCACATCCCCCACACTCTCGTCAACCACTCTCTCGCTCCCGCTCTCTCATGCCAATCTCCTGCAAAATTTAACTCCTGCTCTATTTTCCTAGTTTGCCCAGGCAATCTAATCTTTGGTTCTACAAACATGTCAGCCAAAATGTTTAAACAAATTTTGGATGCGATCAAGACGTGTAGTCCCGACCTTTTAACCTTTGATGGTGTGGAACCTGCAGACTTCGATCATATCATGCAAGGCTTACGATATCCTGGAAATAACCTTGAACAGTACTCGTTTCAGTAACTGTGCTCCCTCCTCCCTCCTCTCCCCTTCCTTTCATGTAACTAAATTACTGCTATAGCATCCGTTGGTTTGCGTGTGAGAAATTCCTCAAGGTTGTGATGCATTCCCTATTGCATGAGTGTGGTGGGGAGTGCCTTTATGATCAGATCTCGAATGCAATGCTGAGTGGGATGATTCCTCAGATCTGTGCTGGAAAAATTGGCATAAGTGCTTCCCCAGGTTTGTTGCCAATTGTGTCCTATCAAAATACCAAAATCTAGCTAATCAGGTTCACTAGAATACAACAACTTTGCTGGGAAATATGAAGGATGTCTAAAGGAAGCTGACCTGGCTTTTGTTCCGCGTCTTGCTCCTGATCGGACTGAGAAGGCACAATACCCTTCCATAGTTCCGGAGTGTGGGTAGTCAGAGTCAGCACAATGACTGAGAGAAGACATGCACCTCTGGCAGGTGGGGTTGGGTGGCCAAGCATGGGTGGTCATTTAAGGGAAGTTTTACAACCAGCAGAATCGTATCGGAGCACGCATGTGCATTGATCGGGCCAGGCCAGCTGACAACTCAATTGAAACCTCCCATGTGACCTATGCAAGGCCCTCCTATATTTTAATACTATTGACTTTGTTACTAATAGGCTAGTTTAATCTGTAGGAAGTCCTTCCCATGCTTGCCCCTCCTGTTGGAAACCCATTGATCACGTTCCAGGAATTCTTTGGTGAGGGTTGTCCTCTGAAAATGAACCCCAATGGATGTGTTGTTTTCAACCTCCAGGAGCTTCGTGTTATTGCAAGGCAGGAGATCCTGGCTCGTGGAAAGGTTCCACATGAATGAAATTGGTAGGTCCCCAATAAGTGTCAGCATGGCCTAAGAAGGCATAGAGGGGGAGTGTGTAATCTCCATATTTTGCTTTTATGCCTTGGCTGTAAGCTGTCTACTTGGCCATTTTGCCACCATGGATTCAAGATCTGCACCCAAGTCACCATGTAGTAATGGAGATTACATACTTCCTCTCTATTGTGCCTTGTCTTATAGAAGATCTGTAACGTATAACTAATGGTACAAGCAGTAGCAGTGCCAGTCACATAGAGGATATCAGCTGGAGCGATACTCTGAATGGGTCGTTTGTGGGGGCTGGTTAGGGGTCATGGTGTCATGGTATCGTTCTGGCTATAATGATGCAGGTGTGAGATATGTTCTTTCAGCCTATGGATGTTCATAATTTGCAATGAACCATTCGTGAGGTGAGTGAGTTCTCTTTTGCAATAATGATTTATCTAAGATGGCTGCGGATCATGTGAACTTAGCTCACAGAGCATGCTTTTAACAGGATAATATGGTGACTTTTTGGTGGGAGGAGGCAGAGGCTACTGCTATCCTAAACCCATTAATAGTGTTTAACCCTCTCCTAAAGTATTCACATATCACTTCCTGTACTTCTGCAACTGCCAGGATCCTGTAACCTGGAGAAAGCTCTTGGAATAATAGAAACCACATCACCATGGACCGTGTCCAGGATTCAAGTTCATTTTTCCTCTTCACACCGCCTGCTCTGTTTTGTCCTCAATTAAATAATTAAAGGATAAAGTCATGTCACAAATGAGCACATAACAGTATACAGCCACCCGACTCAGCAATCTCAGGTTACAAAGAAAAAATACCCCCCAATCTGTACAATTTCCTTGCCCTGCTGACCATGAAGCGGTAGTAGTTTTTCTCTTTTGTTATCATATCATTGTATAAGGACATGTGGTTGTGCAGAGAAGGAGAGAGGAGTTGTGGCAAATATTATTATAAGAATACGGAATACGAAAGATTGATACCAGGGAGAACCAGCATATTCCAGTGTGTGAGAAACAGAAACTATACCATACAAATTACAACACCGATAAGAATACTCTGGGATCCACAGGATTATAGGAAAACCATCAATGCCCCTGGGTTCCCCACAGTGCATCTCACAGGGCGAGCGCTCTCCATGCCCCCCACCCCTCAACTTCTTAGCAACACCCATTGCCCCATTAATGATCCCCAGACATTCCTGAACATGATTTTTCACATCTGCCAACTGCTCCAGCACAAGACATTTCCAGTTGGTGTCCAAGCTCAACTTGTGGTAGTCAAACCCCTTTCTATTTGGCAACCCATCCATCCTGACTTGCACATCCGATTTAAAGATCTCATTAGCCACAGGAAAGAACAAACGGGGAGCTGGTGCTCGGGGTGAGGAGGTTGGAGTATTTCCACAAGCCAGAGAGGATATTGTCGATTGCCTCTTGTAGAGCTCAGGAGGCAGGCTAACTTCCAGCCCTTGTCATCTGTTAGATCAAGATGAAGATGCCAGGTGGGGTCCATTACTGCTGATTCTTCTTCCACTTCCAGAGTGTCTGCTTTGGGTTGTGGGGGGGTAGAGGGCTCCCGCCATAGGGCCGATATCGTTATGCCGATAGGACTAGCTGACATTGTTCCGTTATAGTATGAGTATCATACAATGGTTGGTTTTGTTGGACCAAGGAAGACCTCTTCACCACGACACATATGATATCATAGAAAAAAGAAAAAAAACCCTCAGGGTAAGTTAGAAATGCTTGAGACATCGGGTCACAGCCCCATCACACATATGACATGGTTCATGCGGACCAAAACCGTAACCAGATATTTAGCAGTTTTCGAATGATTATACCATCAGATCCAGCTATCTATGTAACCTAAAAAAACCTCTACATTATTCTCCTTATCTTTCTCAACAATGTAGAGGTTTTCTTAGATCATTTGAACAACCCAGTTTGGTGGTATAATCATTTGAAATAAGGCATTTTTGGTGTAAATAAAGAAAATCTATTACGTACAGCAACAGTTTCGCTTGAAGTTAGGGCACTATTTGGATTAGTAATTCTATTTTTGTATCAAGCCCTCACATAAAGCACATCTTGAAACCAATAACCTATAAATCTTTACTAGCATGAGTATTAGACCTACTATATTTTATTGTATAATACTATGGAGTAATATGATACAGCATAAATACCCAAGTCACCAATGTTAATAATTATGATTAACATAATTAACTAATTATAATATTATATTTGTAGTTATACTTGTATTTATCATACTATTTTATTTTATTTTAAATAATATATTCTGTTATAACTTTTGATCATGTCAGAATCAGGTTATTTTTTCTTAATAAGCTCTATACAAATCCTGAAAAGTGAGTTCAAATACCTTATTTTAGAATCAATAATGTTAGGGCTTAACCTCTATAGTAGCACAGCCACGTAACATTTCTCTTTCAGCCTGGTTACGGTTTTGGTCCGCACGAACCATACCATCCTGCCATTGTCAACGCCAACGCCAACGATGAATCCATTGGTGAGACCGGCCATCAGGCAAATGGGTCTACGAGTACTGGGGAAGTTCCCAAGGTTGGCTCCGCATCCCGATTCGCACCCTTCACATCCTCATCTCGACCACCCAATTACGAGGGTCACGTTCCGCTCAGTTTTCTTGAGAGAGGATTGTCATCGTGGTGGGTTTGGCAGTGATGTCGCTATTGAACGCCCGACGAGGAGGTATTTTCTTTTACTTTTTCAGTTCAGCCTATATCCCGAACTACGATAGTTGTTTTGTTCTTTATGTATGCGGCATGAACCACCACCCCTACCGGGAGTGCTAATATATAAGTAGACTTGATCGCAGCTCTCGTGGAAGCCACGGTGACGCCATACCTAATACACAGGCTCCGGGATGCTATGCTATCCTCCTCTACCGGCCGGAGGATTCTCAAGGATCGCGCAAGGATTAATTCCACTACGGTGAGCTTGGAGTGGCTACGGAATTTACCGGACGTTACCATGGGCAGGGAATATGCAGCGTATCTAGATAGGGAGAGCGTCTCCCTAGATACCGGATCTCTGGTATATTGCTCTCCCCACATAAATGCACTAAGGATCTCTAAATGTATCGTTGGACATCTTGCTATATTCGAATCAACAGAGTTTTGACTATCGTTGGGAGAAGTACAGCCGGACTAGAGTCTTGCGACCTACGTAGGGGGGGAGAATATCGGGAATGGATTGCTAACGAGAAGCGGGTACGATGTGTTGATGATCCTGAATGAGCCTATGTTATGCAGAGATACCGGGAGTGTCACAACTTCTATCACGCTCTTACAGGGCTACCTGTCATAGCTGAGGGAGAGGTTGTTTTGAAGGCTTGTGAATTTGCAAATACACTTCTTCCCAGGACTGGTCTAAGTATGTTTGTGGTTGTGGGGCTGGGGCCGGGGGAGGGGGGGGAGGGTCCTAACCAGGTGCTTTCCTTGCGCTATCAGAAATGGATTGCAGGCCAAGGAAGTGATCAACATCTATTGGGAAGAGGAGTTGGAGACTGATGTGAAGCAGCCGAGGAAGAGAATCGGCTTGCAGAAGTCTCCAGAGTAAGCCTTACGATATTTGAACATTGGAATCGGCGCTAATAAGACGCATTCCCCACTGTAGTCTGCGAGAGATCAGAGCAGAACTGAGGGCTCGGAGAAAGGCCGACAAGGCCGCAAGGGAGTGCGTGCGACATTGGAGTGCTGCTTTTACTATTGCCACCACCTCATAAACGGTCCTTCTTTGCACGTTTTCCCATGACTCGGTCGCCCGGAAAACTATCGCCTTAAGGAATTACAGCCCGCTCGGTCCGTTATCAAGGTGATTTTTTCGTCGAAACGGTAGGGCTTTCAAAAAACAGGTGAAACACGATTCGCCACCATCCAGGATGACCAGAAAACCGCATCGCCACTCACAGACCGAAATCGTCGTTGCCAAGGACACCCCTCCGACTCGAAAAAGCCACCTTCCGTTCCGTAGTATTTTTCCCGTCCATGAAATTGATCAGAGGAATCAAGTCCTCCTCTGTGACACGCTGACGAATTTGGTTGGAACTAGCTATGACGGTCAAACGGTTCTCAAGATCGCGAGCACTCGATTCCGAGTCCTTAACAATGGCTATACGCCCAAGACAGCCGACGACTTCCGGAGTGAGTATCTGCCAAATAATAGACTTCTGAGCTTCATCTATCGGTTCCCAGATATCAGCGCAGAATGCAAACGAGATGCCGTGGATCGAGATCTGGGTGGTGAAAGCCTTGTTGTCTGAAGCCCGTGGTGAGAAAGTATTTGCCCATGAAGCATTTTAGGGGAGAATCTCATGAGGCAATACTTCTTATCATTTCCAAGGGTTCCTGAGTAGTTTCCGGTATTCCGGGATGATGATTATGATAGATAAGCATAGGAATCAATCGCGGAGCCCTGGCCCATGCCGAGTTGTGGTAAGAGAGTCAAGACGATCGACGACCCTTCCCTACCGAAGCAATTGCTGCCCTCTCGCTCGCTATGGGCTGAGGGATGTAAGTCGATGTGACGGAAATAGGGACCCGTGTGCATCGCCCCTGGTCTGGCTGTTTTGATATGTGTGCGATCAGGAGCAGAGCTGGCTCTCAGTTGTGGCAGCTGATGAAAGTGGGACTCTAAAGTGCTCGGTTCGTGCGTGCTCGTACATGTTTCACGCTCCCTAAGCAATATGTATACATGTTTCAAAAAGGCAATTCTCCTTCACCCAGAGTGCTTCCTGAGAGCCAATCACGGAATAGTAGAACTGTGCATAAGGGGAAGAGCTAAGATAGTGGGTAGAGGTTTGGTGAGGGACCCATCTTTAAGCTCCATTTGCCCACCTACACCAGGTGATATGGGAAAGGTCAAGGTGACCGGTGGGAATGTGGATGGAACATAGGTTACTGGCAAAAGGATGAAAAAAGAAAACTTAGATGGGCTAGGGCTAGGCGGTTGCTTCACCTCAGCGATCATGATGGTGGACTCTCGGATCACCGACACTTCTTTTGGGTGGCTGTACTGTACATCGCACATGCACCTGGTACGATAGGATACTTCTGACATTTTGTTTGTGTACTTCTGTTGTTATTTCCTTACCCTTTTGCTGCCACCTTATCTATATCGGGAAACGCGATTATCAGCCCGGCGGTGCGAGTACGCCATTGGGGGGGGGGCGAAATCAATGAACTAGGTCACCAAACCCTGTGATTACGTCGTGCAGCCAGCCCCTAAGTCTTTGTTGACAAACTGTCGACAGTACTACACCACAGACAACGGCACCTGTGAACCAACTGGGAATGATTTGGCCAACCCGGAGACCCGATTGGAGAAGGTGATGACGGCTTGGACACCCCCAAGCTGGTTAAGTGGGTAGTACTCTAACTATCTTCTGGAGCTGCAACATTGCCATCAAGGATGGACAAAGAAAGATGAAGGACCACTGGAAGGTCGAATTAACCATGAATTTAAGGAAGAAGTTTGGAGCAACAAATGCAGGGGTGAGTGATTTGCGTTGGTGGTTCCAATGGATCATGGGCACATTTGGTCTTGCGGTAGGTTGTCGCTCCATTCCCCTGTACCACTCTGGACTAATCATAGGACTATGTAGATTGCCATAAAAGTCATCTTTTACGATAACTATGCCGAAAGAAAGATATTGAACAGGATCAGAGAATCCGAGAGGAGGGTAACGAAAATGGTGGAGAGTTCAATAACCCAACTGAGGCTTGAATTGAGGGTCGGCCAGCAGGCATGCCTCTTGGCTCAGAAGGAGACGGACAAGAAGTAAAGTGCCCAAGCAGTTTCTCCTGGTTAACATCACCATGCTTATTATTATTATTTTGAAAAAAACTGAAATCTAAAAACACGACCGTTGATCGTGGTCGCTTGGGGCGGCAAAAAGGCTCTCCTGGCAAACCACATTTTCTGAATATGCTTTTGCAATTTGAACTGTGCACTACCCGCATTGTGGATGATAATAGGTTTCTAAATTTTGATGCCTTTAGTTGATCTAGTCAATTGCGGCAGTGATAGTTGAAAGCAACCAAGGGGCCACTGTATCTGGGGCTCTTTTTCAAGTTGTCTAAGGGGAAAAGATGAGTTACCCAACCCTGAGATAAATGCCAGTGACGTTGTTCCGCTCAGGACACTTAGCCTCTGGGGCTCTAAAGATGGGGCTCTTTGTGCCCAGACTAGCATAATCCCGGCCTGTATCCACCACCCTTGAAGCTTGTTTCAACTGCACTCTCCCACTTGCTCACATCGAACAAGATAATCTACCAATCCTACCGAACACTGCTTCCCCAGCCTTACACGTTAACCTGGATGGTAGGGGTGGTATGCCAAGCGGGATGCCTGGGTACCTCGCCTTTCCTGATTTAGCACTGTAAGTGCCATTAGAGCGTTTGCTGCAGGGTTAATTTTGCCTGCTGGCAAAGCGGCTTGGTCGGCGGCAAGTGTCGTGATGACTTTCTCTCGTCCTCGACGGGAGCTATTGTTATCCTTAGGTATAAAGATTGTTTTCTGCAATTATGGACAGTCCAGAAACTGCCCTGAGTGGTTGTATACCGACAATTGCTGGCGATGGGAGTGGGGTGGGGGGGAGAATAAGACCTTTGGGCATTGGCCCTTATACTACAAGTCTGATGAAACATAAACCATACCGATATCATGAGGAGCTTTCCCCACACCCACACAAAATCGCTTCTGCACGATACCAGTGCCTTCAACGCCCCTTTAAGCCTACTATATAGGGTTCCCTTTCACCAAGAATAACCCGCCGTTGTGCTGACTGTCTCCCGGGTTTGGAATTAGCAGGACCCTAGGTTTTGCGGGAGACTAGGATCTCACCGTTATGCGCATGACCAGTGGAGGAGAATTTGAGTAGCATTGAGTGAATGCCGGAGCGGTATAGGTCTGTTGAATTACTTGTACCTAAAAACCACTCTTAAACAGATAGACTGGACTTCTGTGGCACCAGTACAGGTGTTGTGGGCGAGTGCACTGCTTGTCCAAGTGCTGTAGCAGTGTTCATCTACAGCTAGCTTCGCCCGGTGGGGGGGTTCGCTAAATTGGGTTTAGTGGGGGAAGCAGGGGGTATTTATTTCAGCGGTAGACACGTGTTTAACCGACTACACCATGAAACCTATGTCAAAGTTATTCTGATCCCAGTTACTGTAAGTACCACAGAACCCATACAACCCACATCTCCTACTTTCCTATCATCCCGTCAGTCATGTCTAACTCTAATCTAACAAGTTGCCAGAATTGCGAGTGCTGTCACATACTAGATATTGAGCTACAACACCTCCAACAGGCCGATCTTATTACTGGGTCAGGAAAAGGCTAACCCTTTTCTCATGCTTCTATCGCTTCCTCCCTTAAGCCGTCCCAGTTTTCACATACTTTTTGTGATTTGAGTAAGTGTGGAATGTGGTCCTCTAATGCCCGTTTAGGTGAGATGGTTGCACACATTATTCGAAATCTCACCACCCCTATTGCCACCTATGACAGCCCATGCTTTGGGCTACGGCTGTAGTTTTCACTTGTTCTCAGCATACCTGTAGTAACAGGCATCCTGAAGTGTGCAAATATGCAAAGTTCTAGTAATGAACTAGAGTGGGACTTACAAATGGCGACGTTGGAGGGCAAGAAATTTTTTAAGTTCCTTTAGTCCAGGAGTTAGCCCTGTGTTTGAAAACAAACCAAGGAATGTTCCTGAGTTTCATGCACTTTTAGTGATTTTAGTGAGTGAAGAAAAAGCGCTCCACATCCCTGTTTGTGAGAGATGGTTGCAACCATAATCTCTTGGATTACTGAAATTCAGGAATTGTCGTCACCCCTCTCATTGGCTAAGACGGCGCACACTTTGAGTTACTTCTGTAGTCGCCAAAATCAAAAGTTTGTCCCCGAGGTATAGCCCGGTGGCAACACAGCAATTACTCCGCTCTGAAAGCCCCGACGACGGGAGAATTGTGTTGATAGCATTGCCCATAAATAAAATATCATTGGAAAACAGGGTCACTAGTGATGTCTAGAGGTTATGAGAGGTGAGCCCCGTGAGCCTCAATTTTTACAAGCAGGATGTGGTTCGGTCGGTTGCGCCCAGGTAAGGGTCGGGGACAGACTTTTGATTTTCGCGAGTAGTTCTCATTTGTTCTCGGCGTACCTGTAGCAATGAGTGTCCTGAAGTGTGCACACCTACGAATTTCTAGTAACCAACAACAGCATTGCTTACTAATAACGATAGTGGTGGCAAGAAATCCTTGAGGTTCAGATGGTGCGGATGTTAGCATTGTGCTTGAAAACAGATGAAGGTATTTGAATAGAGAGTTTTCGCCCACAGACCTGGGTGGCAGGTACCAGAAAGAGGAACCCAGATGCTGGAAAGAGTTTGCGCATAGGATCCAGGTAGCTTAGCGGCAGGGATATACAATAGCTGAGTGCAATGTATTGATGGCCAGAGTATCATCTTTTTTCATATCATTTATTTCTCTCAGAGCTGCTTCGCTCTCCTTGGTATCCATAGAAATATGTTGGTGTTGTATATTTGGATGTTGTTACCTAGAAACTTACCGTATCTCAAGTGTTGGAAATGTTACCGCAATATGATGAGTAGTGCGGATATGTTGGGCCGGCTGTTGGGCCACTCGGAGCTTGTGGACTTAGGAAATGACTGAAGTCACATCGATGTATATTCATGTCACAAACTGCTATAAGTACGGCGCAGGG